GGAAATAAAAAAAGTCCACGCACACCTGTGGGAATGTCATGTTTTTGTGACATAAAAAAAAAAATGTACACTAAGATTAATCATTTTAGAACTCCCCCTCCACCCTTTAGTTTGAACTTGAAAAGTTGAAAAGTCATACAAGTATCTTTGGCTCTTGACTCAGCATGAGACTTCATTTTTTGTTTATTTTTGCTCCATGTACAGCGCTGGTTCTTTTAAAGGGCTCTAGAAATACACTTGAGTTGACCTACATACACCATGAACAATTTAAACAATTCAACCTGATACGCCCCCAAAGGGCTTGGAATCAGTGTACTATTGATGCATTGTAAGAAAATTGTTGGTCCCCTTCTGTGAAGAAAAGAAAAGACACAACGGTCACCATAACAACTTGCAACTAAGAACAAGTTTTACCCCAAACATATTCCCAACTAGATTGGTTGGAAATACCCTGCACCAGATTTCAAACTCCACAAACGTCATCAACAAGCTCTGAAACGTGGGACTTGCCCCAGAAGAAAATCACCCGATGTCACCACCCTGTTGGCTGGCATCCCTAGCGAAACTTAATTTCAATGTAACAAATGTTTCTATCAGCAATAAGATGACCTCGCCTCCCCCCGTAGGGCTTCATGGAAGAAGAGGAACAAAAAGCTCTGGCTCCGACTCATTCAGAGGCCCATCCACTGGTTCACTTATGTGGATGACACATCGGTTAAAATCAAAGCTCGCTAAGTAGTTTTTTTCTTTTACTGAAGACGGGATGAGCTGAATATGAAATGCATGGATGGATCTCCAAGGATTTGAAAATGATTTCGCTTTTTGCTCAACCAACTAATTCAGTCGCCCCGCACACTGGGTGCTTTAAATTGAATGACCGGAACGCCAAGAAACACGACTTGACATTTGGCGCTGGCAATACTACAGTGCGAGTACAACGCAGTCCAGTAAACCGCACGGAGAGAACCAACCTCCTTGTGTTATGAGGTAAACCACATTGACTGGGGCTTCCCCCTTTAAATAACGAGACCCCGGGGAACATCGTGGAAACAAGCATCTGGAGCCTAAAAGACCCCACACCAATTGTTGGGATTCCACCAACATTTACAGTCTGTGTACTATGTTGATACAATGGGAAAGCCACGGCTGACATTCAAAAATCCATGTGTGGGGGTTCTTGGTTTATGACAGTCCTGATGTACAGGGGATGACATTTCGAGATTACAGATGGTATGGCAGTTGCACCGCAGCTTCAGAATACGTCATTAATATGCACAAGAAGGCTTGTTCAGCGTTCATTGTAGCACAACTTTGCCAATTGTTTTTATGTGATGGCCAACAAGTGCTTTTTATACAAATATTGCGGAGGTGAGCATCGTCAGTCTGTCAGTGAGCTTCCGTCTGTATTTCGAGTCGGCGGCGACAGCCAAATGGCATTGGGAATGGATTTACCACTATATATGTATATATAGTGGCCCGGGGGGCCAGTGGTTAGCGCATCGGCCTCACATTGCAGGGTTCGATTCCCGCTCCGGCCTTCCTGTGTGGAGTTTTCACGTTCTCTCTGCCTGCGTGGGTTTTCTCCTGGTACTCCAGTTAGGCTCGAGCACCCTCCGCGACCCTTGTGAGGCTAAAGTGGATCGAAAATGGATCTCTCTCTCTCTCTCTATATATATATAGATATATAATGAATCTTTAAATTTCTGATCAAAGATTTGAAAACATTTTCTCTTGGAGGCGTGATCTTTCGGGTGCGCAAAAATTTTAAGGGCCCACATAATCAGACAATCTCAGAGAGATTTGGACTCCACGATTTCAAAACTTTTTGTGACCATTCACCTAAAACTTGTACACCTCACAATCTGCACTGTACAACTCGGGATGGAACGCACCTTCGTCAGCGACTTTGTTTTTGGCAGCCGTGATCATAAATGCAAAGTGGTCCAATACAGCAAGACCGAGAGAGAGAGAGAATCTTTAAATTTCTGATAAAAGATTTGAAAACATTTTCTCTTGGAGGTGTGATCTTTAGGGTGCGCAAAAATTTTAAGGTCCCACGTAATCAGACAATCACAGAGAGATTTGGACTCCACGTTTTCAAAATTTTTTGTGACCATTCACCTCAAACTTGTACACCTCACAATCTGCACTGTACAACTCGGGATGGAACGCACCTTCGTCAGCGACTTTGTTTTTGGCAGCCGTGATCATAAATGCAAAGTGGTCCAATACAGCAAGACCTCTGTTAGACTGCTGGCGCATCTACAACTCCTTTCCACTTGTCATACAGGGCAGGCAAACGTCTCCACACCTTTTTTTTTTTTTTCGCTCCGCAACTGACTCCTGTTGGCCATGCCGCTAAAGCTTCTTTTGAATTCAGCGGTCGGTCTCTGTTTTTGAAGTGCTCATCATGTCACCTTGTGAAATGGGATGGGAGGCATTTCATAAGACTCTGCAAAACCACATACGAACCAAACCGCAACAGTCGCAACAAACGGTTCAGTTTTTGTGCTGGTCCCAAACCAGTCTTCGCGTCGCTAGCTAAACTGTAATGTTAGCTTACCTGTCTTTGTGAGTTTTGTAATGATGGATAAAGTTAGACGTCGTCGTGGTTGTTTCTTTATTCTGCGAGTTGCAAACCATGCGTTTTGCCATCCTTTTTTTGCCAAGGTCATCGACAATCCGTTAATTCAAATGAACGATCTTCCGAGCTGCCTCCATCGCGGTTGCCGTTGAGGCTGCCTCTTCACACTAACAAATGACGTTGACTGGGTTGCCATGTTGGCGCGAATGAAACAAAAGCCCTTTTTTTTTTCTTTCTTTCCTTCCTCAAAAGTCAAGCTGTGTTAAAATGCAATTTTCCAACTACTGTATAAACAAGATGAATTTTCGAGTCACGTACTTCAAGTCAAAGTCAAGTTGAGTCTCTTGGGCACCAAGTGAACGACAAGTCAAGTCTTCCCCAAGTTTTTGACAAGCGAGTCTCAAGTCCTAAAAATAACAACTCGAGTCTCACTCGAGTCAATTCCCACGACTCATTGATAATAATCTGTCTGACTATTTGGAATATCATATTTTTAGTAGTTAGGGCCAAAGGTAAAACACAACTGCATGTTTTTGTCATTGCACAGTTTGACGTTTCAGCCTGTCCTCTAATGAGCAAAAGCATTTTTTACGATACTCTTCGTACATCTCGCTCATAAAGCAACAGACAAGCGCTATAAAACTTGCGTGAGTGGAACCCCAAGCATGAGTGTGCAGATTTGGAAAAGCCAAGCGATGTTGGCTCCTCGTAAGCACAGTGGGACATTCAGCAGTTTATTATGCCCCGAACCTGTTCGAGGGTTTCCTCAGATTTTCCAATGAATCATTTTCCCTCTTGCCCTTGGGTGAGGAAACCGCCGCTACCTTTTCTCCTTGCGGGTGATATGTTTGCAATTAATAGGGTCGAATCCATTAATGGGATGTTTGGCAGCTTCCAATTAAAATTACAGATGGGATTCCCTGCAAAATGTCCGCAGAATGTAAAATTGGCGGCATGGTCGAGGTAAAAAGTTCCACCTGTGCGTTGTAAAACAGGAAAGCTACCCAACACATCCTGCTCTTTAACAGAACATAATGAGGTGTGAAGAGGTTTCCACTGCTCAACAACACATCTGCTGCAGCTGCAAACAACTACCGGTCCTGGAAATGAGCAGATTGGTTGGGTTCATTATTTAGACGCAGCAGATTGGGTTAAAGATTGGATTTGAGTGAGCTGAAGACCTGAAGCTGGGAGCTAATTTGGACACTTTTGTGTACTGGTGTTCAAGTCAATTTCATGTAACATTCTTAGAAAATGGTCTTGGTGGACTCAGTGTATAACATTGCTCACTTTGGACATGGTAATCCGGGTTCATCCCTGCTCAGGGTGAGTGTTAACATCCAGTCGGTTCCTTTGGCAAGGCCCTTGATGCCATTTGATGATTCCCAGGCACTGCTGGTCCCAAGCCTGGATAAAAATGGGTGCATGCATAAACAAAAAGCGCTTGCAAAGACAAGGTCAGAGGAAATCGGAGAATAAAAATGAAATTAGAGTCCAACTTCACGAAACATAAACAAGTTACAAGCGAGAGACCAGAGAGCAAAAAAAACAACAATGATGAGATCGAGAGGTCTAGAAAACAACACTTGCGCATGAGCGGCAAACGAGGTCAATAATCCGACAGAGACTTGGGGTTTAGGAAGTCCTTAAACTTGATGAACGCATTGGCAGCAGGTGTGCACGCTGGAGGGAAAGCGCTCCTCTGTCACCTGCTGGAGACAAACGAAAACGGGATCATGACTTCATTCGGTCCGACGTGAGGCCATCGTTGTGCCATTACCTTGCCCACGGCTCGCCAATTGACATTGAAGCAGCATTACAAAATTGCTGCCTGGCTTGAGGATTTTCTCTCCCCGACTGCATGGTTGTCACACTGCTCCAACGTGTCGTACAATTGACGCTTCAGTTTGATGAGCCTCATAATCTTCCGCTTGAAGCCTTTGAATGACCCAAAGTCGATATGGGTAAACCTTTATTGCTGCCTGAATCCGCACTGAATCAAGCTTTGGGTGATGCTGATTTCCACTGCAGCACCCCCCCCCCCCCCTAGGATTTCCTTGGCTTTTTGAAAACGCCTGCTGTAAGAGTTTGGTGATTTTCATCTGTGGTGGGAGCAGGAGGCCCACTGATGAGTAGCTTGTCAAGAACAGAGCCTCTTTGGAGAAACTTGCATGGGATAGCGTAAATTGTTTCGTATTGGAGCAGTGTGAAATCGATCTATAAGAAAATGCATGAAAAAAATACTACAAGAAACAATTTAAATCACAGTGCATCAGATCCTCAAACTGCAACTGTTCACACCTCCTGCATGTATGACACTCCTCCCCCAGCTATAAATTCGTGCTTGAACTGAGGTTCTCTCAAACGACTCACGCACTGCGCTCTCTCACAAACAAGGACAAGAATGCAGGCTGCCATGCCGAGGCGCATGCCACAGAGAAGCATTCTGCTCGTGCTCCTCTTCGTCTCCGGTGTCTGCACCAAAAAGCTGCTCCAAGGCTCCAACCATGACAATGATGATGATGATGATGATGAGGAGGAGGACGGCAAGGATGGGGCACCCTGGCTGGAGAATTTCCCGAGCGCACGGTGCATGTCCCGTTGCTTAAGTTTGCACAGCGCGGCAACACTGCAGGTAAACTCAGTTTTCCTAAAAAACTGAATTTCAACTGCACTTGAGTCAGCATTTGTCTTCTTGTTGTCGTCTTGAAACTTATTGCTGTTGTGAATGTGTACAGTATATTTCTTTTTTTGCACTGAAATACAACGTGGTATATTTGGATAGGCCACTGTTTTTTGAGGTCGAAAAGAACCCCACAACAATGATATTATCCTATACTGTACGCCACACGACTGTATAGTTTGACACCTTTGATTTATTATTGCTGCATTGAAAATTTGATGTTACACTTCACTTTAAGGCAAGGGGTCTCAAACTCTGGTCCTCGAGGGCCGCTTTCCTGCTTGTTTTCCGTCTCTCCCTGCTGCAACACACCTGATTCAAATGATCAGGCCTGTTTGGGAATGAATGTTGACAAAAAAAAAAAAATTGAATGGCATTCATATCAAGATGGTCAAGTTGGCTCAGTTCATCAACAAATTTGTCCTTCCAATCATCAACAAGCCACCGTTTCCAAGCAATTACATAATTCTAAAAGGATCTGACTCGACGAATGAGGCAGCCAGTGCCCCTTGAATTGTGCTTTTTGATGTTTTGGGGGCGGGGGGCGGGGGGGGGGGAATTTATTGTCAAATAGACTTTCAGTGAAATTATATTCAAGGGTTCGAGTTATGATGTCTAGATTGAATGGATTGAATGTAATGTATATAAATATACTTTTTGGTCCTGTAGTATTTGGACATTGACATTTATTATGAATTCATATACACACCCGCAATGAATATGAAACAACAAAAAAATCAAAATAGGATTAAAATGTGGGTTATCAACTTTAATTTGAGACTAAAAAAAAGACACGTTTCGAAACTCCGCCATGTTATACCTTCATTTTCGAGCCAAATATCATACATAAATCAAAGTAGATTTAGCATTGCACTCTGATCACAAGCGATAATCTGACGAGCAGTTGCTTCCTCGGGCGTTTTAATTTCCGAATGATTTACTCTCATTCTTCCACATTTCACTGGCGTGATGACAGATGAGGTGCTTTATCACATGAGGCTCACTGAAGTTTAATAAAGAACTCCAAGTACAAAAAGTTTCACAATCTGGTTATCGTTTTTTAGGACAAAAAAAAAAAAAAAAAAAAAAAAAAGCTTAAACAAAAGAAAATCTGTACCTGTCAATCATCGCTCGTGATTTATAAAACACCCATCATCTTCTCCCATCGTGTAATTCATTACCGAAAACGTTACACAGTCGTACAAATTCTTTTTGTGCTTCGTTCTGCAACACAGTGGCGGTCGTGACATTTCTTGTGTAATTCTTTCTTTCTGTCTCCTTCCGGAACAACGTATCGCTATCCTGGTGCCATAGGCACAAAGAGTGCACAAAGGTAGGTCCTTTTTGGGCAGTACATTTACTTCAGGCAATTCAGCTGAAGATTTAGCGGGCCAGCTGATGCCGTTTGAGATGTCAGCGTACAAGAGCTTTTTCGGACAAACGATTCAGTTCCAACTTGCAGTTTGTCGGGGCGTTTGAATGACATTTGTTAAAGGATTGGTCCACAGAAAAAGTGTTCCATAGTCGGGCGATCGCTCACTATGCTGATGTCTGCCTTGGACATTTTTGAAGCATTGTTAAAAGTCGACAAACGCAAACGTCCTCGGATCATTTCTTTAGAAAACATCAGGCAAAAACCACTTCCGAGAGAGAACATGAACTGAAGAGGGCAAAAAAACGATAAGGACGCAGTTTAAAGTTAAATGACCATCATTTTTATTCTTTACTCTCGTCTTTTTTTTTAATTACCCACATCTCTCATTTATCATGAAATAATCTAATTGTAACACGTATTTGTTACGTATTTTGATGCATTTTTTTGCTTCATCTCATTCATGTCTGAATTTTGCGGGGCTTGGAACGGATTAGGGCATTTACATGGAAAACGCGTCTCTCCTTACAACATTTTCTCGGAAAGAAATTTCTTCCAGAACACATTATTTTCGTAAGTCGAGGTACCACTATACTTTAAAATCTTTTTTTTTTTTTCATGTCTCCCTGGACGGCTGCCACTGCTTCAAAACTAAGACTCCAACTCGTAAAGAGTATTCTACACCGTGGTTAAGAAAATGACCAACTACTCAAATGCGTTCTTTTGAGGAAAGAAATTTGCATACTCTGGTCTTCCACCCAAGGGCACAGAACATGAGTCATGGCGTCTCCACTCTCCGGCTCGAGCTAATGTGCAATTTCCTCCTTGCAATACAAATGAAGACTTCGATTCAACTCTGCTCAATAGACTAATGTCAAATGGGAGCGGTCCTCCAGCTCGGCCAAAAAAGTTCCTCCTTTTACTCGCGGGAAAGCAGGAACAGAGTGATTGATTTCATCTGGAAATGGGGCAGAAAAGGAAGCATCGCTGGGATTTGCTGAGCCGGTGACGGCACAAGAAGTGGCAATGTCATTCTCTATTAGCGAGGCGATTTCTTTTCGAGGCCCGCAACGGGACGATGAGAGATGACAGGCCAAGCGTCGCGTTGTCAAGTGGACAGCGCTGTGCTTCATGCGTATGCAGTCAGCCAATTATAACTCCAACTCTAAAAAAATGACTCCCGAGGTTATCTATCTAGACTTGTGGATAACAAACTTTTTTTTTTACATCAAGTACCACCTCAAAAAAATACAGAGCTCTCCAAGTACCACTGTAATTATTCACCTTAAATAACAGTAGCGTAGTAGGACCAAGTAGTCATCATTCATCAAAACGAGGCAGATATAAAATCATTGGAGGGCGCAGTAACGTGCTTGGAATTGAAACGGATTTACATGGGGCAGGAGAAGTGAACCAATCTCTTTTTTTCGTCAATGGACGCTAAGAGCTTCTTGTTTAATTTTAAACTTAACTTAGAGCAAACACGTGCACTTTCTTAGCATGATGTCTCTGATCCACCTCTATCATCTCGAACTGCTTCAAACTACAACGTGTATGCTGGAATAGTGGTTACGATTGCATGACTGTCCGTTTCTTATGTGTTGTGTTACATTGCCAAATTTTGTTATTTTGGTTGGTTCAGAGACGTCACCATCACAGCATGCATGACATCACGGATATGAGCAAGAAATGCATTTGGTGCCATCTTGTGGCACTTTGGTGTCCCAAGCAACTATGATGAAGTCAGTTGCAAAAATTTGAGATCCGAGCGCTGTAAGCACTGAACTCAACTCACTTCACAACAAGGAGCAGAGGCTTCAATTTTAATGCCACTCTCAGTGAGACGTTGACTGTCAAATTAAAGATCAATCCAAGAGAATTACATCACATCACTTTGGTTTAACTTGCTTAATGCTAACACGTAATAGGAAAGACCGTAGACTGGCGACTAAATACCATCTTTGTGGAGACATTATAATGCTTTCATCAATGGATATTTTCACTCAGATGGCGCAGCGCCGCCAAGTCAGATAATACAACAATACTCACAGGCATATGTGCTTTATCCTCTGCGAAGAAAGATTATTTTATTGCGACTTACTGAGTAGTTGAGACTGGCTTCATGCACAGTCTACCCATCCATCCATTTTGAACTGCTTATCGGTGGCCAAAGCGCACACACCAGATGGAGAAGCACAATGTCCATTGAAGTGAAGCAAAGTGGACATTAAGTCAACCCCCCCGGAAACTAATATTTCACTCCCATCCCTTCAACAGTGCCTGGAGCCCTGTGAAGATTCCTGGTCCACGAAAAGGAAGAGCAATTGCAAAGAATTCTGTGAGGTAAATGCATCATAATATTGTCCATCCTTTTGGCGCACTCTGCGCAAAATTGTTGAAACGGTCGATGATGTAGCGATTGTCATCCACCCCCTTTTTGTATTCAAGAAATTGTTTGGCGTGAACCGCTGGGAATGTGTGGCCAGCTGCGAGTTCCTTCAGACGCTGATGCAGGTGAAGCAAGGCGGCTGTCCGCCTCCGCACAGGGCCACTGGCTTTGCGGCCGCCTGTGTCGACAGCTGTCATCGCGATGCAGAATGCCCAGCTCAGAAAAAGTGCTGCTCCAACGACTGCGGTCACACATGCCAATCTCCGCAAGACCTTTACAAAGGTGAGTGCGACACGCCTGCGTGGACCATCTGTGAGGAACCGTTGACGTCTGGAAAAGATTTGTAATTGCCGATACAGAATCAGGCCCAGTGGACAATGTCAGATTGCTATTAATGCCTTCGTCACATCCCGGCTGGATTACTGTAATGCACTTTATTTTGGAGTCAGCCAATCCTCCATGAAGCGTCTCCAGTTGGTCCAGAATGCTGCTGCTCGCCTCTTGACTGGTACTCATAAGAGGGAGCACATAACGCCTACTCTGGCATCCCTTCACTGGCTTCCTCTACATTTTAGAGTTCTTTTTAAGATCCTATTATTTGTTTTCAAATCTTTAAATGGCCTCGTTCCACCTTACCTCTCTGAGCTCATCTGCCCCTACACACCTGACCGGTGCCTCAGGTCTGCGGACCAGACACTATTAGAAGTACCAAGAACGAAGCGGAGGCTCAGAGGGGACCGGGCCTTTTCCGTTGCCAGTTCCTCTCTCTGGAATGACCTCCCACTGAACATTCGGCAAGCCCCTTCGCTTCCCATCTTTAAAACTCATCTCAAAACTCATTTGTATTCTTTGGCTTTTGACTCAGACTTGATCTTAGTTTGACTGTTTTTGTGCTCCATGTCCAGCACTTTGTATTCAGCGGTGGTTGTTTTAAAGTGCTCTAGAAACACAGTTGAGTTAATTTTGAAATGTCTTGGTTGTAATTCCCATCCAAGCAATCAAAGCAACAGACTACTTTAGATTCCCACTGATTTGTGTTTTGAAGCCTCGTTTATCAAATATTGTACTGTACTTTTAATGCTGTTTAATGGCTCCCATTAATCTCCCAGGGGTTCCCCTGAAACCGAGAAAGGAGCTGAACTTTGAGGAGGTTGCCCCCGGCCATCTGGAGGTGAACTGGTCCTCCAGGTTCAATGTATCCGCAGAGCCTGTGGTCTACATCCTGCAGACAAGGTGGAACTTTGGCATTCAGCCCAGCGATGATGCTGCCGTTTCCTGGCATGTGGTTGCACAGGTTCGTGGGCCGCTTTCCCCATGTGAGGCTTCACGTTGTGTCCAACCACAGTCCATGTTGTTGTTGTTTTTTGAACCCAACACCACACTTGTTACTTGTTAGACCACAGAGCAGAGAGCCCGATTGTACAACATCCGACCAGGCCGCTGGTACCAGTTCAGAGTTGCAGCTGTCAATACTCACGGAACCCGAGGTTTCACCACTGCTAGTCGACACATTCGTTCCAGCAGAGGTCAGCAGCCTTTTGAATGTTTGTTAGCTCTGTTGTTCAAATACATGTTAAAGTCCCTGTAAAAAAAAAAAGTCTTTTAAATTTAAACCCTGCAGAATTTCAATGAGCTAGCTAACAAACGGCTAGCTAGCTAACATCATATCATAATTATGCGACTGCAGGAGATACACTATTCATTTCTTATAGTTTATAAACGATGTACACTCTAAATGGAGTTTTGCCATGACAAGATTAAGAGACCACCTCATCATTTTCCTATCTTGTAAATTTCACATCTCCATCCTTAGACCCCTCTCGCCCTCCCGCACCAACTGAGCTGAGAGTGACCAACATAATGTTTGCATCGGGCCACTCGGTGCAGGTCCAACTCGAGTGGAGCATGCCTGAAGACCTCGATGTCCCCGTTCACCACTACAAGGTTAGCTGGACCTGGACCGCTATTGGTCGGCCCGCCGCTTCCTCCTTGACCAAGAGGAAGAAGCGAGTAAGTGAGGTAAGGGCCGCTGCAACCACTTTGGTTCTGCAAATGGACAAATAACGACATAAGACCACGAGTGCTCTTCTGCACAGAGGCAGGTGGTGCTCGGCGACATGCGGTCCGACCGGATGTATCGTGTGGAAGTCCAGGCTGTGTCCTACTGGAAACAATCTCAGCTGAAAGGACCTCGGGCCATCGTCCACGTCAGCACTCAGCACAGTATGTACAACATGTATGCTCTGTTTGCTAGGATTATTGTGACTCATGCTGATGCATCGCCTCGGAAGGATATTTTACGTTGTATCCGTATTAAAGATGCCAGCGCCACACTGAATTCTTCCACGGCCGATGTCCTGCATGTGGGGACACCCTTCTATCAAAATGGGCAGCTTCAGGTTCATATTTACTGGCAGAGCAGCACAGGTGTGTATTAAGTGCATGATGCATTTTTCAGGGGCAAATATGCGAAATGTTATTGATGAAACAGTCACATGCATTGACGCATACGCGCTCATTTCATGGAAGAACAAAGTGTCAAAATGAGTCGTAGCGAGAGTTTCCAGTTTTTATGATCATAAATGAATAAAATAATGAATAAAACACTTTTTTGCGTGTGAAATGTTTACCATGCATTTAAAAAGAGGGTTTCTATAACTTTCAATGTGATTTCAGTGTGTGAGAGGGGTATTTTAAATTGCATTAACATTTATTTTTTTCATGCAATTTACACTTTCTGATCGTCTTCTTTGTGTAGACCCTTCAGTTGAATACTACAAGATCCAGTGGGTACCACAGTATTGCGAGCACAAACAAAACACTGTGAGAGAGAAGACCAGCACACAGGTTACATACCATTTCTAAAAGTTTATCTACATTTTGGGGGCGGCCAGTGATTAGCACGACCGCGTCACAGTGCAGAGGCGCAGGGTTCAAATCCAGCCCCGGCCTCCCTGTCTGGAGTTTGCATGTGCTCTCCGTGCCTGCATGGGTTTTCTCTGAGTGCTCCGGTTTCCTTCCACATTCCAAAAACATGCATCTAAATTGTCCCTAGGTGTGAGTGTGAATGGCTGTTCGTCTCTGTGTGCCCTGCGATTGGCTGGCAACCGGATCAGGGTGTCCCCCGCCTACTGTCCGAAGACAGCTGGGATAGGCTCCACCATTGCCCCGCGACCCTCCCAAGGATAAGCGGATTAGAAAATGGATGGATGTTATGTAGAAAAAAATGATTTGGTTGTTTGGTCATGGTTGAGCATCACAATGGGAAATCTAGTTGGATGAGGAAATGCGTAGCCAATAAGCTATAAGTGAATTTTGTGCATTGGCTTGATCCTAGGAGACCTTCACCAACCTGCAGGGTCTGCTCTTCTCCTGTAAATACAAAGTCCGACTGCAGCCTGTCAGCAGGACCAGTCGGCAGCCAGTCAAGAGTGTCTACTTCGTTACGCCTTCCTGTTCTGCCATCCGAGCCAAGAGTCCAAGACCCATTGCCTGTCATGGAGAAAGCCGTAAGGGAGCTTTCTGTAAGAAGCATATTCAAGCATCAGTTCGGTTATCATTACAACTAATGATGGACAAGTGAAGCTTCATGAAGCATTTGTGATAGTTTTTGACTCCTCCCTCCATGGCACTCTTGATTTAAAGATGCAGTGCAATTTTAATACATTTCCACTGCACTAAACTTCATATTTAGACCAAGAGCACCATCTGGAGGAGTCAAAAAATATCGCAAGTGTTTCATGAAGCTTCGTTTCCCCATCACAAATCACAACCCCCATCAAAAGAGCAAAATCACTAAGCATAGCTACCTTCACCATGTGTTATCCATTTAAACTCAGCGGGGGGCTCTCAAACGTTTCAGGTCCAGGGACCCCTAAGAGGTGTGAACATGTTCCAGGGACGCCCCCCCCCCCCCCCATAATCCTTACACCAATTAAAAATAACTACCATGTTGGGCTGCAGCCATCGAATACTTTTAGAAAGGAGTATTCTACTGGTTGTCCCTTCGATTAATCTGATAAAATAAATTTGTCTTATATTAAATTCAATAAAATGATTGAAAGTATACCAGCATCCCAACTGGTAGCTAACTAGGCAATAGCTAACGATATTTTTGTTACCGTTAGTTTGTGATTGTAGCCGCACTATTGTGTAAGCCAGTTGTGCTTTGCAGCAGACACAGTTGTAGCTTCTTTCTTAAAGTGTGAAATAATTCAAAATGTTGGACATTCTTTGTCTTTTATGGACTATTTCCTCCGGATTAGTCTCCATTGCGCCCACTAATTTCAACACGGAATAGTGCACGTGTCCGCAGTAACATTAGCCCATGCGGAGAAATGATCCATATGAAGCTCCGAGGCAGAGATTTTGTGTTGTGTTGGCCTTTTTTTTAAAAATAATAATCATAAAAAGATGTAATTTTCTAAGTTAAAGTTTTCATGTTATTTTATTAGTCAAAGTTTAACAAGGGAAGAAAGCCATATTTTAACATGCCTTTTGTGCTAGAGGGAAAAAAAAAGATACTCTCCCTGAAATTTTTTATTTTTTTTTTATCTTTTGTTCAAAATCTTTATTTTTAAATGAATAAAGTCTATTACATTGTTCATGCAGGGATGTCAGATTCGTGTGCTGATACATCACGTTCGTATCAATGCTTTTAATAGGCCCAAAGCTCAGAAGGGGAGGTGGAAATTATTGGTCGCCAATCTCCATATGTAGGTTTGGAAGTTTTTTTTTCATGTTTTTTTTCTAATACGACTTACTGTGTATTGGTCATTTTGCAGACCCTCTCGCGCACCGCCATCCGATAACCCCCGTAGTGTAATGTCAGGACTGCACCCCCACTGTGGTCTGTGAACAGTTCACTTGAGTGCTTCCTGCTGTGCACACATAACACTGTATTGTACACACGGAAGCACTATGCAGAATGAATTGTGCTTTCAGACTTGATCACAACTTGAATCTCTTTTTCCAGTGACTCCTCAGAAGGCTTTGATCAAACCAACCAACCTGACAGTTACCTTCAAGGTCCGTGGCAGTAACCTGACTGCAGTCTTCAACTGGCATGTGCCCGCCGGACCATCTCGGCGTCAATTGACTGGTTACCAGGTGACCCTGGTGGAGGTCATGCCAACCAATCGACTCAGAGATGACAACATCTCCCATTCGCAGATCTTAACCCCGGTCAGTACTTGAGCACAAGCACGTGGGTTGTTCCACCATTGGACTTTTCCTATACTCCGCCCCAAAAGGGGATAATATAGGAAAATTTGATTCGTTTCACATTAAAATCAAATCTAATTTTATTTAGTTCACTGGAGCATATTCAGCAATATTTTGTAACTCTATAGCTATGTTTGTTCTTGACAAATTAGCTTTGCGGCTAGCACGCAATCGTCGACATTGATTTACAACCCTGATAATGTAATTTGAGTTACGGGGATATGAAAAATGAGTATTCAAATAAAATGATGTTATTTAACTGTAAAGTATTAATTTTACCGTATTTTGAAATCGATTTTTTTCCAACTGGCTGAGTGCCTGTGACAGGGTCTTGCCAAACACTGCAAAAACCATATGACATACATCTCATAAAAATTGTACTGTTGATGAGTGAGAAGGATGAGTCAAATGATGTGGTTTGTTACCTTTTTCTTGAAAATGTAACAATACAATAACCAATGTATAGTCAGTTAAAAAAAACAAAAAACTTGGTTCCCAAGTTGTCCTCCAATTCTGGAATGACCCCTATGCAAAATGTTGCTTTGCTTAACTCACCTCCCCCGCTTGCTGTGTTTCCCATCACAGGACGTTAACGTTCTGGCAGTTTCGGACATACGCCCCGCCAGTGTCTACCGGTTGGATATCCGGGCTATCGCTGCAGACGGCGAAGGTCCAGCCATCAGCAGAACCTTCCAGACTCCAGAATTCCAACATGTGCTAAGGTCTAGGAAATACGATTGATAATCAAGCAAGATGAGGAATAGTGCTGCAATTAGCCAGTCGCTCAGAGGAGCTGACCTGACAGCTATTTTGGGATGCGAAAGCATTCGAGGTGGTGTTAAACCTCAGCTGCTAACAAAGGATCTAAGATAAAAGCAACTCCAAACGCAGAAATGCAACAATCAGTCTTCCTTCAATTGTTCCAACTTTGAAAACGTATTTAATTTCCTGTTGGAAACCCAAGTGTTGTTGGCCTTCACTGTCCTATGCGTCACCTTTGAATGAAATTACAAAAACATTGTAAAGTGGTAAAATTATTCTTGTTAGTGTATGTTATGTATATAATGTCGAGAGTAGTGGTGTTATCTTCTGTCCAGATGTGTCTACGAAGAGAGCTATTGTACAAAGATTCAAAACGGAACAAAATAAATCCTATGGCCGCGTGTAGTTCATACTTTCTTGGATTTACCTTTTTTTTCCTTGTTATTTTGCACTCAGGATTGTCCCCCCCCCCCCCCCCCGGGGGTTTGTGGGGCCGCCCACAAAAGCCTC